TCAGTGGAGTTCAGGCTGAAGATTCAGGAGTTTATTACTGTCAGAGTCTTCACAGCGGGCCTGTGTTGACACAGTGAAAAAGCATCGTACAAAAACCTCCCCCTTTCAGACTAAAAAGAAACCAGCCCGCATACTGGAGCAGGAGACTGCTGCAGAGGATGAAACAGTTAACTGAACACACACTTCACACTTTACACACTCATAAAACATAGTTTTAACCAAATTAATAAATGAATCTGCCTTACAGATACATTTCAGAGAAACTGAATTACGTAACTTTCCACAAAAGTAGATGTATACTGTGACAACTCACCTCCAAAATGTCATTTTTGTGAAGGCGAGAGCAAACTATTTCCTATAAAGGTTTATGTAATAAGACACAAAAAAACCTTCTCACTGGTTCATACAAATGGCAAAAGAAACAAGGACACAAAGAGCAGTCAGTACTCCTAGACAGCCCCCCCAGTAGCCAGCCACTCATCAAACCACCCTATAAATGAAGTTTTCACCATGGAAACTTCAGAGTCACCGTTTACAGGCTGAACTGGTAAATAATGAAGTTTATAAAATAGGTACTTTTCCATGGACCTACATTTTATATATCATGGCCAAACTAATACATTTTCCATCCAAAATAGGACAAAAAAGCTAAACTTATTCACTTATCCAGGCCCTGAAAGTGCCTTGGGAGGAATTTAAAAACCAGTTGGAGTGGAGCTGTGTTTTGATCTTTGTTCATCTGCTGCCATCTGCTGATGAAAACCGATCAGAACGCCTGATTTCCTGCATCAAAACTACAAAGTCAGGATTGCATGAAGAAGAGTAAATTGTTTTAGAGCATGATCAAAGAAGAGGAATCATTTTTACCCTTTTAGCCTCCTCTTGAAATCACACCCGGGCTCAGGGTTAAAAATGAACTGCTGTTTATTCAATTTACTGACAACAGAACTGAAGAAAGCAACTAAAAGATGCTACCTAACCAGTAGCCTTCTTAAACTCATATACTTTTTAAGTGCAAAATGAGAAAATGTTACCAAAATTCACACAGCAGTTTTTCTATTGAGCTTTCATTTTCCAAGGAGAAACAGGTGAAAAAACTTTTTTTTTTTTTTTTAAAGTTTGTCTTAATTCAAGACATGCATTTCCTGAAATACTTAAGACATTAGGTAGGTGGTAAATGCCTTTAAGTACTGTATTGTCTTTTTTTTCAGGACTCCTTCAGAATGTTAAAACATCATGTTAAAGAACTAAAAAGTAGAAAGTCACATGGTTGACAGGCACCACATTTTCTCTCAGCTGTAAATATGGAGATTCTTGACTCTCTTTTTACAACAAGTTAAACAAAGCTGTTCACAAGACATTTAACTGTCTCCTGAATATTATGAAAATCTTTACTTTAGCGACAGAGAAAATCTGGAAAAATAGGCAATTAATTGTGTATCAGATAATTAGCATGTACAGCTACAGAATCATTTCCTGCAGTGCAAGAATTGTAGAAGTTTGTTCAATCATCTTAAGATCATAATATAAATATTTTCCAGCAACAACAAGGTTGTCTGCGGATGCAAATTACAATGGAGCCATTAGAGTCCATACAATCTCATGTCTATACAATTTTTAGAGGAACACTCAGATGCCACATTTGGTGAGGAACAAATAAGTGCATGGTGCCATAGCAACGATGCACCTTAAAACTGCAGGTGTTGGATATTGTTCAAACCAAGGGGGGCCGCTGTCCTGCGGCTTGTAGAAGTTCCCCTGCTTCCACACACCTGACTGACATCAACACGACATCAGCGGTCCTGTGCAGAGCTTAACACCTGTAACGTCACCACCGCTTAGCCAATGAGCTTCTCTTTAGCCGAATTGCCACACAAAAGCCTCAGAAAAGTGACGTTGGACGCACACGCATGTGTGCATGCACGACCAAAACACAGAGATCACATGTTAGAGACAGGATCCAGGTCCAGCCTTGAACATTTTTATCTCAGCATATCAATTGAATAATGTTTGTAATCTAACTTTTTTTTATTAATATGTTTTTTACATTTGAATCCCCCTCCACCTCTTCTTAAGTCTTCTAATTTAAACAGCCTCCTGTTTCTAGTATTTTGAATCAGAAATATGTATTTGTCATGACGGATAGGGCAAGTGCAGATGAATTAGTATGGAGTTGGGGTTTTTTTGTTGCTGCTGAGAAAAATAAAAATGTCATTTATCTTTCTACGGTTCCCTTTAACGTTCTGACCCGGACAGACACTTTGTTTGTGCTGGAAAGGTCGAATAGGTGTGGGGGTCTTTCGGATCAAGTAATGGAGGCTGTTTCACTTCCTGTGGTGCTTGTGACCCAGTGTAGGTGCTAAATTGTGTCATTATTTTGTGTGCATGTGTGAGTGCCCGTGTATGTGTGTAAGTACGTATGTGTGGGTGGAACATAGACCAGAGTCTTCTCTATGTCAAAGTTTGCTGGCGGATATTCACTAACCTTAAAAGCTTAAGGCTGAACCAGGACAGAGGAGCAACTTATTTATATACATGCACTATTCTGACCCCGCTCGACACACCTGGAATGGATTTGCTCACCTTTAAGTTGCTTCTATTGCCACTACTATATATTGGTAAGACTTTTTTTTATAAAAATGAATGAATAAATAAAAGCTCTCATTAATCCTTTACCCCCTACTCGCACTGAAATCGGGTTGTAGTTGTAGCTACACTTTAACTTTACACTTTAACACTTTCCATGTTTTTAGGTAACCAACTCTGTCATTTTAAAATCTGCTGCCTATTGTTTTTACAGAGTCAAACACTGCCTTACAGAACAGGAGATGTCAAACGGGAGCTTTCTGTTGATGAAAAAACGTTGTAGCCCTGATGGTATCTGGGCAAAGTGCTTTGGTGATCCGGGCTCACTGGTGGGGGGCCCCGAACAAAAGTGTTCACCACTGTCCCTAAATGTTTTTATATCTGCTACTATTGGGAAAATTACTTTCAGCAGTCATTAAGAAGTTTTGATTTCTTCAGAGCACTTTGATGAAATACTGAAGAAAAAGTCTGATTCTCAGACTATTCAAGTCTGAGCTGAAAACCTCTGGAAAAAAACAAACACATTTTAAGTTTCCATTGGGGCAGTACAGATTGAGTTCGATAGAAATAAAAGAAGTCCCATTTGTGAATATTCACGTCTGTTAGGAAACTAAGAATTGGCATGCACTACCTCTACCTTTTTTCCCCCTGACTTGTGACAAGGAAATTATTATATCAAAGGTTTCTTTAAGTTTTTCTTTCCAGATTCTGCAGTTGCGTTGCAAGTTTTGTTGCAGAAATTAAATGAAAGAATGACTGACTAAAAGCAGAAATAGCAGAAAACAAAGCAGAAAACTGTAATATAATAATAAAGGAGTTAAAGGTATAAAACAAATAAAGCCAGAAGTCAAAGTATCATTCTGGGTTGAAGGCCAGTCTTTTTGGAGGATTTAAATGCGGAAAGGGAAGAAGCCCATCTCATATAAATTGATAAATCACCCGCAGCAACTGAAAGGCTTTTGTGTGAGTCTTTGGAATTATCAAAAGCCTTTGGTTGGATGATCTAAAAGAGCCAGATGGTTTACGTGGATGCGGCAGTTCAAATGCACCAACATCACTTTTTGGAGAAACAAATACACACCAGCGTTTTTAAAATATCTGGCATCAAAAATGGAATCCAGAGAACAAGAGCCACTCTCCTCATACTGGAAGACAGTGCGATATTTTGTTGTTTAACCTTAATATTAATCTCAATATTTTGGACTTATTTATGGCTTTTTGAGTCATGCACATGATTATATTATTGAGTATTTCTTCCCAAACACTGTACGCTATCTTTGTGTTTTTTTTGTTTTGTTTTTTTTGGGGGGGTGGTAGTTGCTTTCCATGACAAAATTAAACAGACCCTTAGATGTTAAGGGGGGAAACACAGTACAGACAATCTTTTAGTAAAAAAACACCAATATAAATGACATGATGAATGCATTTTTGAGTGACAGTTTTAACCTAATTTCCCTTTATACAGGCTTTGCTTGCATTGCTTTTTTCTTGCTTAAAAACAAAAATTATCATTATGTTCCTTCATTTCATCAATCATTTCAAGTTATTTCGTCTGTCCTCCCCGTATAGAATGCTGTGTTGGGCAGGATGTTCTCCAGAAGGGAACCGTGGAGGGAATCCTGATGGGGAACGTGACCCTAAAAGTCCTGACTGAGAAGAAAAGGGGTGACAGCATTATCTGGTATTTCCGGGTCGGAGAGAGATGGAACAACATTGCTACTCTGCGTCAAACAGAATGGGAAATAAGTGATCTTTACAAAGGAAGAGCTTCTATTGACACAAGCAATGGGTACTTGACTCTGTCTTCTCTGAGGTGTGAGGACAGCGGGGACTATAGCGTCAGCGTAATACGAGATGTTGTCCTAACAGGAGAGATTTCACTCAGAGTTCGAGGTGAGCCTTCGTTTTCTTTTTTAAAATTTTCATTCAGGGCTGACCAAAAATATGCCGGCTGTCCCATACAGTAATTACTCTGACAAGGATTTTTTGGAAGGTGAATCTAACAAAGCTGAAATCTATGGATTGTGGCTATATCATTGCAAAACAAAGAGAGCAAGCTGGTCATAGACCGGTTTATAAAAGAGGATTTTTTAAACATTGTAATAAGAAAATGGTTTTTACATCTACCCTGTGGTTGTTTTTCACTTGACTTTGACAAAGGAAGTGACACAGTCACAGTTGTGGTTTTCTAGTTGGCCGGAAACTAGGTAAAGCTCCTGCTGGATGCTGCCTTTGAAACATTCAACAAGTCGAAAGAATAACACGGCAGTTGGAAAAAAAAATCTACTTGCTCTCTTTCTCTCTGTATACATTAGTATTTAGACTCTGTCCCTAGTTTGAAAATGTCTCATTATTTACATCAGATTGAATGCTGTTACCAGCTCATGTTTTGCTAATCAGGCTGACTGGGTCTCCAGACGGAACAATGCTGTCTCTCATTCTCCATTTTTACAGACTTGGTTCTTCTTTCACTCTTACTGTAAACACAACTTTCTACTTCTTTTTTATTTTATTTAGATGTGCTGTTTGCTTTTGACCGAATGCAATTCATTTTTAATGTGATTTTCCCATTAGTTCGTCATTCTTTATTTTATTTTTTCCTCACCTCGAACACTTACAATCAAAAGGGCAGTTTTGTTGACTGTCGTTGCAGGACGGTAGTGTGTTCTCTCTGTCTTATCTAAGTGGACTGATTCAGCCTCTGATCGTTCGCAGCCTCTATGAACGGGTCCACGCCCAGCTCTGCCCAGCCAGGAACCACCCAGGGCTTCTCAGGTACAAAAGGTACAAAGGTCTTTCAAAGGTCTTTCTCTGCAGCCGTTATTACCAACGCCATTGTCAGTCTGCCTCTGAACACTCCTCTTCACTCTGTGTCCCTTATCAGACTGTTTTATGTCTCTGGTCGGATGTTTAACAATCATCGTTTTGCTGTTGGCTGGACTTCTACTGTTCCTCTGCAAATGGTGTCGTGAAAAGTCCAGGACCTTAAATGAGGTAACTCCCATTGTCCCTTTTTTTGTTGTTTTGTTGTTGATATTGGTAGACAGACACCATACACGTCTGAGAGAAAAGAAAGTACAAGCTGTTGCTTAAATGTTATTGTTTTATTTTTTTAGCTGTCCACCAGCCGGCGAGCGAGGCCCGCAGCCTCTAAATGTGAAGACTGTATTTACCAGACCCTCAATCGTGAAAGCTTGGCCAGAGACCACATATACTCCACTGTCCACTGCTGATGTCGTCTTAGAAAAACCCGAAGCGGGCACTTTGATGCTTTTTTGGTTGGACATGAACATATTTTAGTCGCTAGATTTTTTAGCTTTCAGTTGCTTCCAGTCTAAGCAAAACAGTGCAAAGGACATCCTTTTCCTGACCTAAACTCCACAACCAGAGCAAGACCAGGCACAAAAAGGACAGTAAATAAGTCTATTCTAACTTACATATATATATATATATATATATATTGTTTAGTATGTAAATTCATAATCACATAATAAAACCTGAATTCACAACAAATAAAACCACTTTCTTGTGTGTTTCTTTTAATGTGCAAATGTAACCCCCCCCCC